TGGCGGGCATTGGGGTCTCGTTGATCAACAAGAACTTGAAGGAGCTGCTATATCTCACTTTCCGCGAAATCGAGATCAAGTTCAGAGAATCAAGGGTTTACCAGACTTTGAACACAACGATCAAATGGATCCAGATCGATAATCAACTTTATGGGGGCATTTTCCCCATATTGTTGTATCCAAGCGTTGTGCCAAAGACCGGAAAGGAGATGGAGGCCCATCCGATCTTTCACGCCATGGTTACACGCGTAAAAGACGACTCTTACGGTGTACTTTACATTAAATATGCCACGGTACTACTTCAACAGATGACACTTGAGCTCGATGAGGACTTCATTTTCGCCATGCTCGATTTTGCAAAGGTCCCTGGTGCTTCATGGTCCGAAGAGCAGGAAGGAAAACTCTGCGATGAAGATCTAAAAATCCCAGAACCGCAGAATGAAAGTGCTAGCCAAGATGTGTACTTTGAGCTCCTTCATTTGCAGCCGATGCAGTTGGATATCTCCTTCATGCGGACAGAGAGGGTTAATGCCGAGAATACCATGCAGCCCTCCAACCCCCTCATGTTCTTCGTCAATGTCATATCCATGTCAATGGGCAACATCAACGACGCCCCCGTTCGTCTCAATGCTCTTATGTTAGAGAACGCTCGTGTCTCTTTCGGAATTCTTCTGAACAATATTCAGAGACATTACACTCAGGAGTTCCTTCGTCAAGTCCACGTCATTCTTGGGTCGGCGGATTTCCTAGGAAATCCAGTGGGTCTGTTCAATAACGTCAGCTCTGGTGTTGCTGCTATCTTCTACGAGCCCTATCAGGGACTGGTCATGACCGATCGGCCTCAGGAACTGGGCATGGGTATTGCAAAAGGCGCTACAAGCTTTGTCAAGAAGTCCGTCTTTGGTTTCTCGGACAGTATGGCCAAATTCACCGGAAGCATGTCCAAGGGACTTGCGGTCGCCACGCTAGACAAAGAATTTCAAGATCAGCGACGAATGTCGAAGTCTCGGAATCGGCCAAAGCATGCATTGTATGGTATCACGGCCGGTGGAAATGCGTTCGCAAACAGCTTAGCAAGCGGCATTGGAGGACTTGCTCGCCACCCGCTGCAGGGTGCGGAGAAAGAAGGTCTCCAAGGTTTCATCAAGGGTGTCGGCAAGGGTGTACTTGGACTGGCCACCAAGCCGGCAATAGGCGCCTTCGATCTTGCCTCAAGTACGTCAATTTCTCAACAATATAGAGATGTTCATGCTGACTGTTGTCTAGACCTCGCCGAGGGTGTCCGAAACACCACGACAGTGTTTGACGCGGAAGGTCTTGACCGTGTTCGCCTAACCCGTTTCATTGCCACAGACGGTATAGTGCGACCATACTCACAGCGCGAGGCTTTGGGTCAATTTTGGCTTAAGACAGCCGACGACGGCAAGTATTTCAACGAAGACTACATTGCGCACTTGGAGCTGCCGGGCAAGGACATGCTGGTCATGCTGACGTACGACCGAATAATGCTTGTGCGCAGCAAGAGACTTCGAACAGAATGGGATATCCGATTGACAGACATCCAAACCATTTCCAAGGAACGGACTGGTATGAGCATTACGCTAAAGGGTGGCGCAAACGGGCCTTTCATTCCCGTGCAAGACGAAAGCTCGAGGAATTGGCTGTACCGCCAGATCGCCATTGGTAGGTCTATCCGGATAACCTGCAGAGTGAACGGTTGCTAACCATCTGAAACAAAAGCTGTCAACGCATTCAATGAAAGGTACAATACGAGAGTTTGAGTTGGGATTTCTTCCATCTTAAATAATCAGGCCACGTCTCTCTCCCGAGAAAAATGTGTTGAAGGGGACCAACACGAGGATGTATGATGCATTGAACGTACTTGGTCAGATTCTACACTCGCATTCCTTTTTTCAGAGTATATACTTCTACCACAGCCCTTTTAGTGTTGAGCATGATATTGTCAATGTACATAGTCACACTTTTTTTATGACAACAGGACGACTCATTCTTTCACACAGTGTCAAAGTAGACTACAGAATTTATTACACCACCACCACCATTCGTAACTATAAAGCTGCCTCAAAACTAATTTGCCATGTCTCCTAGTGAATGTGGTTGAAAGGCATGCTCAGATTCATAAAAGTCGTGGTTAGACGAAGGTTTCATTTCATCACATACGTGAAGATAAGTTTACCATAGAGAAAATAAAGCAAACATGGGTATCATCAATTTCCCAGATGAACGCGCAGAAACAGAGGCTCTCAGGAAGCTCGAAGTAGTTGAGACAAAGGCTGATATTGTCACTTGCCCTCGGCACGCTCCACAAGCCTGTCTTCCAGACCCATAGGTTCCCATATATCCTTCGCTTTCTTATTTTGAACCCAGACGACATCTCCCTGTACGAATGCGACAACTCCGCCCTTCCCGGTGGCGCTGGCCGTGATGCGGAACAGAGGCTGGCCGTTCTGCGGGTGCGCTTCCCGCAGGGGCAGTATGATAAGACCCTGTTCCATGCACCACGATTCGAGAATATCCTTGAAGGCGATTTCCTCGACGACCTTGGGCTTGCGAGACGGGGCAGGCGCCTCTGGAGCGGCGCGTGGTACGTCTTCTGCGGGGGCCGATTGCGCTGCGACGTTGGGGACTGGCAGCTCGGTGGCGGGGTCGTCCAGGCGCGACGCAAGGTCCATTTGTTGGAGACCTTTGTTCCATTCGTCGTCGACGACGGCGAGCTCGTTGATCTCTGCGGGGATCTGGGTTCGCCACCAGGTGAACCATTCGCCGACCTCTTCGAAGTTTGGATCGTTGGTAAGCCAGATGTATAGAATCTTGTGCCATTTAGGGAAGAATTCTGCCACCAAAAGAAGGCCAAGGACGTTGGGCCTGAAGAATCCTTTCCACTTAAGGATATCCTCCAAAGCAGTCAAGTCCTGATCTTGAGGGTTTACCTCGAAGTCGTCCCGCAGGTGACTCGCAAGTCGGGGTAGCAGGCTGTTACGTAGGGTAACATCGAACTCGGACCCTAGCGCGTCTCGCCAGAGTTCGATGCCGCTTATCAGACCCTTACGGAGATCCCACGATTTCAGGATCTCACGGAACTTCTTTTTCGCGTCTGAAAGAAGACCCGTGGGTTGTCTCGGATTCGTGTGACGCTCGTCCAGATATTGGAGCCAAGTAAAGAGCCACCATGGAGAGCGCGAGCCCTGATGGGAAGAGGGATGACGCCTGCTGCTGCTCCTGGGCTTCCACTCTTTCAGGCCGCCGCTGAGCTTGGGAACGACGAGCTGGTCGAGCACGTTTGCGAATACAAAGTTTGGTAGGATCTCTTTCCAGGATACGATGAGTGATGTGGCAGGGGACGGGTCGTACACGTCCCAGTCATTAATGAGCGCAGAGCGGACTCGGGGGAGCCAAAGAGTGTAGATCATAGTTTCATATGGCGACGTCGCTTGCCTTGACACGGCTTCGTCATTTTTCTTCCTGCTCAGAAGGGGCTGAAGACGACGAAGATTGGATACAAGGAATGTCGGCTCTTGAAGAGGATCCCAATCCTCCATCGCTTGGCGGAAGAGCGGGTGAATAGCAGCGACCGCCGTCTCTGATAGTCGATACTCATCGATCTCGCCTCGGTACTTCATCTCTATCGATTCGAGCTTGCTGGTTAATTCGTCAAACCGTGCAAGCGTACTGTCTTCTTCGAAAATCTCCAGCTGCCCAATAGCGGTGATAAGGTCCGTGAGTTGATCCGTCTTGAGCTGATTGGTGTCCAGTTGTTCCACGATCTGAGCTTCCTCCAACTCAGCAAACTTCTTTCGTTCCGTCAATCCTTTCCATTCATCGGCAAACGCTTCAAGGTCGTGACGCGCTCTTCGTGCGATCTTCAACGCCTCTCCTTCACCTTGATTGACAAACTCCAAAGGAGTCATCAGGCCGGCTGTGGAGGTCAGAACTCGCTGTTCCTTGCCAGTGGCATCAATCAGCGACTTTAGCACGTTTGGCACCTCCAGACCATCCATATCCGCCTCAATTTCGCGTGCGGTTCTAAAACGAGGTTTCGCTCGAGGGACTGGTGTCCCCGTCCCACTCCTGCTCTCCCGTTGACGTTCTTCCTTCTTTTTCCGTCGTCTCCTCCGTTCTTCATCTGAACTGTCTTCGACAACTTCACCTCGGGCAGCTGCTTGTCGCTTCTCCTCCTCTCGAGCTTGTTTCGTTTTCTCGCGAACGGCACCCAACCCAGCGCCCGTCGGTCGCGCTTGCGCCTCGATCGGGGTGACGATACCCTGTCCACTCGCACCCAAACCTTGCCCTTCTTTGTAACCCATCTTAGCCATCATACGCGCAGCAAAAGAATTCCCTCCACCGGTGATGGGTTTGCTGGTATTGGCGTTTCCGCCTCGGGAGGCAGCGGTGGCTGACTGCATGTTGTTATTCCAGGGATTACGACGAGCACTTCCCAGGCCGAAAGAAGGAGGCGATTCGGAGCGAGAGGAAGCTCTCGCAAAGCCGCGAAAGCCTGTAGGAGGGCGAGCATCTTCCTCATCTGAGCTCATATCGACGATTTTACGCTTCTGGCCAGCGAAGGATGACGAGGTCGGTGACTCCATGACCAGACTAACGGGGGCAAATGCAATGAAGTACGCCTGAAAGTCACAGCCTTTTCAGTTTAACTGAGGGCGTGCAAAGTGACGTTGATCAGTCTATGAAAAATCCATGAAAAATGAGCTGGCAACGAGGCCGTGTGATCGGCTTCTAGAACATGAAGATAATAATAGCCCATATCTGATTTCTTGTAATCGCTCGGGCGGTGACGGGACGGGGAAACGCGAACTCCGAGGGCAGAGAAACAATGACGTTTGTTCCCCGTTCTCCTCCTTCGAGCCGATTCTTCTCTCGTTCTACCCTTCATTTCTTCTTGTCTTTTGCCTTTGAGGAGCATCAGAATAGCATCCTGTTTGTCTCTTCCATATCTTCAGTAAACGACATTTCTCAATTACACAATGGCCGCCTCTCTCATCCGTACCTCTGCGCGTACCGCCCTCCGCTCCGGAGCTTCGGCTGCTCCAAGAGCTGCTGCGAGCTTGACTTTTGCGCGCGGCAAGGCTACTCTGCCTGACCTGTCTTGTATGTTGGCTCCGCCTCATCAATGCATTCCTCGTCTCAAGATGAGAGCCTCCTTCCTCCGTTTGAAGTGGAATACCGACGCTGTATTCGAACTACACAATCTCACCTTCACATATATCTACTAGCGTAGCATTACAATTGCAGTCTCTGAATGAAACTAATCATGGATAACAGACGATTATGGTGCTCTGGAGCCTTCGATCTCTGGCAAGATCATGGAGCTTCACCACAAGAACCACCACCAGACCTATGTCAACAGCTACAACCAGGCCATCGAGCAGCTGCAGGAGGCTCAGGCCAAGAACGACATTGCGTCTCAGATCGCCCTGAAGCCCCTGATCAACTTCCACGGCGGTGGTCACCTCAACCACACTCTCTTTTGGGAGAATCTGGCCCCTAAGAGCTCTGGTGGTGGTGAGCCCCCGAGTGGTGCTCTGGCCAAGGCCATCGAGGAGACATATGGCAGCTTGGAAAACTTCCAGGGTAAGATGAACACCGCTCTGGCCGGCATCCAGGGAAGCGGATGGGCTTGGCTTGTCAGGGACAAGCAGACCGGACACATTGGCATCAAGACCTATGCCGTAAGTACAAGCATTCTGAAGGAGTCAATCCCAGACTACTGACTTCGAATTAGAACCAAGACCCTGTTGTTGGTCAGTTCCAGCCTCTTCTTGGCATTGACGCCTGGGAGCATGCCTATTAGTAAGTGGCCCTCTCTAGCCTTGCCGTCCCATGCCGGTCAACAGTAGCTGATGCAAACACACTCCGCAGTCTGCAATACCAGAACCGCAAGGCCGAGTACTTCAAGGCCATCTGGGAGGTTATCAACTGGAAGTCTGTGGAGAAGCGCTTCTCCGCATAGATTGTCCAAGAACATCGTATGTTGACACAGCTTTGGTTGGAGCGTTCTTCTGTTGGTTTGTCGCATATGATTGTATAATGATTTCCTGTATCTGATATAGCCCTAATCAACAAATGCACCAACAGCTGCCAGTCACTCTCGCAATTTTTGCCTCATGGTTGTAGCCACAGTAGGAGTCCTGCAGCTCTCCGGATAGTCGCGGATATAATCTCCCGTAACAGCCGGTATCGTTACCGTACTGAGCTCTTTGCGGCATCATCCAATCTCCAAAAGCGGAAATTCAATCCTCCAGGTCCGTTCCGCAGTATGACGAGCATATAGGGAAAAGGAGACACCAACTCTTCAACTATCTCTCACTCATTGCCCGCCGCCTTTCCAGCAGGATGTCTGCAGAGAGTCCGGGACAGAAAACTGGCTTCCGAGCCTTTCTGACAAACGCTCTGCGACCGAAGAAATCCCGCCAAGTCCTCCGCAAGAACACCGCATCTACACCAAACCTCCGAGCGGCTGCACGACCGAGCATTGCCAGTGATGAAGTTCCTGAAGTTCCTTCGCTTGCGCCATTGCAGGCTCATCGCCTCAAGTATCGGGAGAAAAATGCACTGGTGGACACCCAGCTAGGCGAGACTCGCGACCCTACAGCTATGCTACATTCGATAGGCATTCTTGATACGGAAGATTCGGATGGCTTCGCATCAGACCTACAAAAAGACAATCGACCCCCGGGGGAGCCGATGATTGCAAGCTTATCACAAGACGTGTGGGCGCTTGTTGCAGAATACCTCAATCCGGCAGAGCGAGCCAGCTTAGCATTTGCCAGCAAGACACTCCTCCTCCTCCTGGGCCTGGGGCCCTGGATGGCCTTGAACCTCCCCGAGAACCGCGAATACAGAATCGACTTCCTAGTCCCACATGACCGATACCTCCCCCATCATCTCCTCTGCATGCCTTGCGGCCGATACCACCGCCGCACGCAGGAGGGCCACGAACGACTCGAGCCCGCAACGGTCGTCAACCCGCTTTACAACTGCCCAAACGCCCGCAACCCCCTCCTCCCTGCACCCCGCCACCGCATCACTCACGCCCGCATGCTGCACTTCACCTTCGTGCAGCTCGCGCTGCGCGCCCACCGCTTCGGCCCCGCCTACGGCATCCCCGTCGACTCCCTCTCCCGTCGCTGGCGACGGGACGGCTGGTCCCACCACACCCGGTACCACATCCACAAGGGCAAGCTGCTGATGCGGGTGGTGAGCTCGACCTTCGCAGACCCAGACCTAGCTCCCAGCTCGATGCGCCTGCTCCTCTACTCGCGCGACGACTACTGGCCGTATTTTTCTGTCTGCGCGCACTGGCGCGACGGGGAACTCATGGACGTGTGCAAGTGCGCGCTGGGCCACGTCCCAAAACCCCGCGCCACCGCCGGCCTGCAGGGCCTCGAGCACCGCGCCAAGGACATCTACCATGGCCGCACGTACAACCCCAACGAGTTCGCGACCCTATGCGCCAAGTGCCGCCCCATGCGCCGCTGCCCGGACTGTCCGTCCGAGTACATGGTCGAGATCAAATTGTCCGAAGACCGGTCCGACCCGCGGAGTCTGCGCTTCCGGCATGCGATCGTGGTGACGAGGTGGTGTGATCTGGGCGATGGGAGCTCGCCGCATGGATCGCGCGAGTGGGCCGCGTGTAATGGCGAGCTGGCCGGGTATGACTCGTTTGAGGTGCTGGGGAAGCGGTCCATCTCCGGGGTGTTTGAGTCGGCGTTCACGGATGATCATATACCGGGGCAGAGGATCGTCTCGATGAATCCGAAGGGGAAGAGGCTCGGGGAGGCGGGGAATAGCTGGTATTGAGTGTCTGTTTCTTTTCCTACTATACACTGTATTTCTGGGGCTTTTAACCGTTGGTCATGGCGTATGAAAGAAAAAGAAGAGGAGTATGGTCCGGATAGCGCTGGCTGCATTTCGGGAATGATATAGACTGGGTTTGGGTTTCTGGATTGGTATTTGGCACAAAATCTTACAACCGTTGAATTCGTTATCAATAATCCTAGCTACCTTCATAGTTTACATGTAAGTTCTGAAATAGAAACGATAGTCAGGGACAAGCTTGCCATTGAAGTCAGATGAGCTCGTCATCATGTGCGAATTGTAAAAGCAGAGAGCAAGTCGTAATGAAAGGAGTATCGCCGTGCAAAAGCGTACAAAGGGACATGAGATCAAAAGAGAGGTGGCAGTGGTGGTGAGTTGGCAGACCTGCTGAACCACAACCAGGACAAAAAGCAGAAAGACGCCCAAATGCTTCATATATCATCAGAGATGTATCATAATTCGACAGTAAATAAATGCTTGCATTCCATGAAAACCGCCCATGTAATCGGTAGTCGTACAGTCCCACATGATATTATTTGACGGAAAGGCTCGGGGTATCAAAGCAGGTCATAAAAGTCATGCATGAGATACACGCGACGTGATAAGAGAATTGAAAGTGGCATAGGACGGGTCATATATTCCCAAATTTGGGTATTTTTGGCATTACTCCGCCGGATCCTTCAAGGCCGACGGGTTCTTCGCTCAATATATCGCGGCCGACGTGTCGAATCGTCGTCGTCCTGCTTTTGAGCCATATGTCTGACGGAAGCTGACATATCCTGAAAAGCTCCATATGCACCGACGCTCTTCGCTGCCTCGGGTAAGGTATTGGAGCTGTCAGGGCCCCAACGAGGTATCGGCCGTTCCTTGCTGGTGGTCTGCGTAGTTGCCGTCGAGTCGGCTCCAGCTTTCTTATGATGAGAACCGCTTCCGCTCGACGTTTTCATCCAACCAAAGCCAAAGATGCCAAGGGAGCTGCGTCTCTTATGCCCCTTGCTGGCGGACGTTGATGGTCTGGTCGTTGATGAGTGTGACCAGAAGTTCGATTCTGTGAAAGAATGGGGAAGAGTCCTGCTGGGGCTGTTTGCGGTATTCGCAGCAGCGTAGGTCGGTGCCGATCCGCAGAGCTCCCCGTGAACCCGTTGTGAAGCATCCATAGTTTCAACGGTCTTGGCTGTCTTTGGCGGTTCCATGATCCTGGCTTTGCGAATGACAGGGGAGGGCGCACCATCTCCACTATCCTCTGAATCAGTTATTGGGGATGGCTCAAGACGCCGAGGCTGTGCCAGACGGCCTAGGAATGGTGGCCGAAGATTGATCCGTCGTCGGTGTTCCCGTTCTTGATGTACAGGTTGTGTATTTGTGTCTGACAGAGGCAAAGGAATCGTGGGTTTTTCTGGGACTCCGGGGTCTCGGAGAGTCGAGTCCACACTATGCCTACGTGTTAGGAAGGTGGATTGACTGGGAGCCCGTGCCCCGGTCGCTTTAGACGGCGGAAGGCCGGTATAGGTCTTTGTGTTTGAAGACCTATTCTTCGTGGGCCGAGGACCTGGCTTTGCCGCCTCGACCCAGTCTTGAGGAGTCAAGGGGGACGATAGAGATGGCACGTCTGCTATTTGCTTTTGAGTTATGGGGGCTGGCGGAGAGTAGTAGTTCTTCTCCATCTTTGATATGACTTTCTCAATTCCCACAGGGTTGAAGATCACGTCATCAGCGTCGCTGAAATAACGCATACTTCGCTTAGGAGAAGCTGGATCAAACACGTAGTTCGTCTCGGATGGGATGCCGTTCAAGGGAAAGATAGCCGGGGTCGGTTCGCGCTCTTCAGTACTAAGACGAGGGAGAGTCGCATCACTCCGAGCAGGGTCGATTCTTTCCAAGTCTCTATGATCGGAGCTTTTCGTTGTCAGCTCGCCCGCAGACCGTGGCCGGCCAAGTTTTCGGGGGGCAGAGCACTGCTGGTAAGGCTGAACCTTCTCCCTGGCGCTACTGCCATTCGATCTATTTGTCCCCGACGCACAGGCCGTACTCATTGTGTCTGGAGTAGGGGGTAATTTTGACCCTCCAAAGACATCATCCAACCGCAGCTTCTGGCGGGGGGCGCTTGAGAACATGCCGTTCTTGATAATGTAGTCGCCAGCTTCCCTTGAAGCAGCATTGGTGTGAGCTTGGTGCCTTTCTTTCGGGATGGTACTTGTCGGAAATAATTCCACTTGAGGCTGGTTCCAGCTAGAGCTGCGAATGTGACCGCTTGCCTGTATTTCGCCTTTGGGCCTCGGGGTAGTCTCATTTGTCCCCACTGATTTTTCCCGGTGGACTGGAGTGTCGACTTGGTTGAAAAGAGGCGCCTCGTTTATAGTGTCATAGGGCATGAGCTCGCTACATTCACTGAGAGCACTCAATCTGGGTGACTCTGGTTCGGTAATTTCAGTCATTGAGTTCATACTCTCTGTCTTCGTCATAGCGCTTCTTACAGAGCGCGAAGGATGTTCAGAGGTAACGTAGAGACTGCGTAGAGCTGCGGTGCTCGGCTGCTCTTCACGGAGGAATGAAGGGGCCCTTGTGAGAGAACGACTTCCCGAAGAAGCTCGGTTATTGTCCCCTAGCAAGGTGCCCTTCTTAGACGAAGACCTCTCTGGTATATCTGGAGTGACACAACTCTTAGGTGTGGCTGCGTCTGGCCCATTGCTGGACGAAGGACGAGCTGTAGAGGCTCTGGACGAAAGCGCACCAGCCTCCAGCTCCTCCAATCTCGCTTCAAGTTGACAGATCAATTCCACGGCTTCTGTGACCGCCTGGTCTCGCTTATCGATCTCTTGACGGAGCTGCTCGTTGGACTCGCGAAGTCTCTGATTGTCCTCTTCCACATCACGAAGCTCTTGCAGCTCCTCTTCTAAATCGCGCATGCGCTGAACGTCTTCCTCCAGCTGCTGCATACGTTCCAGTCTTTTCTCCAAGACGGCCATCTGTTGCGCGCGATGGAAGATGTCAAGTTTCAGGTCAAAATTTTGTTTGTTGATTTTCGAAATGTACTGGCTGGGCGTCAATTTATGGCTTGACTCATGACTCTTCTCGTGGGCAAACTTACTTGGTCCATCTCCCTGAAACCCATCTCTCGTGGCTGCTTGAGACCCGCCGATAAGGCGCTATTAATCTTGCGTTGTCTCTCAGAACCTGCATCTTCCTGGGACTGGGACTGAGTCTGGGTCTGAGACTGGGTTTGCAAGCGTTCGGGGGTACGAGGCATGTACTCTGCACAGTCATCTGTAGGAGGAGGACCCTGCGAAACTCGAGTCGCACGTTGCTCCCTTAAAAGGTCTTGTAAAAGCGTAGACGAAGGGTTCACTAAAGGCGTAGAAGCAGGTTCCGGGGTCCCTGTCGCACACAGCAGTTGTCAGCATTCTCTTCTCCATGGTGCCACAGCTTCGCGGAGTGCAAGGACAGCTCAACTATAACTCGTACCTGATCTGGACCCATGTTTCCTTCGTGTGGTACGAGGCGTTCCAGGCAATGGAGACTGGCCGTTGAACCAGGACGTTTCTGTGTATATCAATCAGCACCGAGATACTCTTGTAGAACTCAGGCACGCTTTACCAGAATCCAATCGCGACGGACTATTCATAGTGGACATGCCTTTGACACGAGCAAGCGCCGCAGGAATTGGGGGATCGGATTTGTCTGTGGAACGCAGCGGTCAAGTCAGTTCTTTTGTGTATTGCAAACGGGACTTGCGAAATCAAGGGCGGGCTTACTGTTTGAGCAGTGTCTCAGGAATGCTGTACGGCGAGCAGGGACAGGCACGGAGGAAGAGGGCTCGAAGGACTGTCGCAAGGTAGAAGGGGCAGTTGATTGCACGGAAATTGTGCTACGTCGCTTGGGTTTCGAATCCATGCTGATGAAATGTAGACAGGAGCCACTCAGCTAGCTAGCTAGCTGGCACATTGCAGGATCTGACAAATTTGCAACAGGACGGCCAGCCGTGTGTCCTCTAGGGATGGCAGAACTCTTCATCAAATTGGGGAAATTACTTCATCCACTGAGCAAGGGTTGACTCAAAGAGCCCTCGCGATACGGAGTACTGGCAGATTGACGATGCGAGGGGCCCAAACTTTGAGGCTGGAGGCACAATGATCAACGAGGAGAAGAAACGGAAAGTTCACCTAATGCAGTAGAGAGGAAGGTAGTGATGATATTGGAGAAGCACAGCGTATGTAGCTTTTTGGCACTATATCAAGTGAGGGGAAGATGAAGAAGATGATGACAAGCGCCTGTGACGAGTCAACTGTGAGTCTGTAAGTCTTTAGGCTAAGCAAGAAACGGAGAATCCCACGATATGGGGTCTGGTCGGGGAATGTCAGGTGTTGCCATGCGACCGATTGTCATGCATTCAAGCAGCGGCCGATCTATTGATTTTTATCCCTTGAATTGCGATTGTTGTCACTCTTCTTCGTATTGTCGATATTCATCGTCATACCTCAGATAAGATAGGCAATTGAGCCCGTCGTCATTCACTTCCGCTGTCAGGATATCAGTTTCTGGAGAAAGGGTAGCCTGGAGTTCCCTTCCTGAAGGATCAAAGAAACCACCAATGGGGTTTCCCTCTTGCCAATCATCACTGGCGTTTTTGTGCTAGTGTCCACTAAAGAGTAAGCAATGAGACTAATGTACGACTAAAGTTCTATGTAGACTAGCCTTTCATCCTGTCAGAACTCAGGGGCTGGACTCTTATCGACGACTATTATCGTGAATAGGAGTCAATTTTGAACTCTGGCATATAAGAGCAATCTGCCATTGTCACACATATCCTTTCACCTTTAAATTGTTTTAAAGATACTAGTACACTCAGTAACTAGAAGTACTCCGTACCGTGATTCCTTCTGGCTCAAATGCTCATAGTACAGAGTAGAGCAACAAAAGGAATATGCTTCAACCCCACAAGGCGGGGTGAGCCATGAACCACAAGTTGCCCATGTGCGGTACGCCAGATCTACTCCGTAGGTAGGTAGTCTACCTGTAGCTACCACGGCACAATAGGAATATCATGAAGATATCTTATTGATTATTACGCAAGAGGACCTGCCTGGCCACTATTATTATATTATTGTCCCATCACTGATACTAGTATTTGCTTTGAGATATATTCAGTCACAATTGCGCTTAAATATTACAGCATGCTCATATTCTGTAGATATATATAGTCGCAATGAACCAGGTCACTTGCTACTACAGTTATCCATACTAGGTAATCACGATGACATTGGGCTCCTCTTCCCTGGGTTTCCTGGAGACAATTGATGGTCCCCAAATGCAAGCTACTCCAATGATGTGCTACTCAAACGATCTGGTAGATATTTGATACAAAGAACACAGACAACCATGACCTGCACGTAGGCTAGCATTATTAAGCCAACCGCGAGTCATTTGCTCGAAATTAGGACTAATGACCGATATCTAGAGGCTCATGCTTTAAACGTCCTACCCCATGTACCAACGAAATGAGATTATGGAATCAAATCTTGGATCTCTATCATGAACTAATCAAAAAAATTCTCCCTAACACACTAGAAGCGAGCACAGCTCAGCTCCTAACAACCATTTTGAAATTCGCTCTATCATCTCTTTTTGGCCTCCCCTGCCCAGATTCGTGTCTCCCTTGCGCTATCGTGGGCCACGCGGAACACTAGTTGACGGTAGTCAATAGCCGGGAATTGCATGTCAGGGGATAAATTCACATACATTGCCTCTCCGTCTCATCCAGCCCTCGAAGAAAATCAGCACCCTCCCCTAGAGCACCCTTGGGGTTATGTGCGTGGTCAGCAATTTCGGCTGCGCGCTTTTTGAATGTCTGTCAAGACCAAGATTAGCAGAAAAACTATTCGTTAGCTCCTCGCAGTCTGGTGGGTTTATACGTACGTTGATCAGAACATCCACCATCTCTTCCTCCTCAAAGAGGTCGAGCACCCGCTCGCTCAGACTGTAAAAGTGCGGTGCCAATGAGCGCAGATCGACGGTTCGGGGATCGGCTTTCAGCGCATTCACTACCCGGTCTGATAATGCTGAGGGAAGGTCAAGTGTAACTAATCGTGAAGTCCCCAGACGTGCTCTTTCTTCGGAGTTAGCGGGAGTCTACTTCATCGATAGCACATGCTGCGCAAGATCCTAACCCAATCGATAACATCACACCCAGCCATAATGGAAGATCAATTCGAGTCCCTGCCTTGATCTATACGATCGTCAAATTCTGTGTCCTTCTCCTGGGGCATCCTTACCCACATTTTCTCCAGGATTGCCCTCCAAGATGCCAAGCCCGGGCACCTCAAGTTCAAATGTGCAGGGCAGTTTCTGGTATGCAATCGTTAGATCAAGAAAAAACGTTGTCAAGGTACCGACTTGCATACTTGAGCGTCTGTCAGGATAGAGTCAACGTCATAGTAGGACATTTCGAAGTCTTCTCCGAGTAGTACGATTGTCAAGATGCCGATAATAAAAGCAATGCCATTATTAACTGTGATCTATCTTGCTCAGCGGCGCGTACCGTCGTCGCGTGGTCACGTGATGTATATAATTGAAATTGTCCATTGCGTCTCGGTACTCTTGGCACTTCTCTAAAATAATTATTTGACCATCGTGTGCTTCACTTGACTATCTCAAGAGCGTGATGTAGGTACTACTGTGTAAGTCTGACAATCCTAGCAAAAAATTAATGGCGTTTTCACGACACTCCTCAAGTTAGCTTCTATAGGTGCCATGCCACTGTCCGAAAGATATTGTTGCCAATCTTGGACCAGCTTCCTTTCCAGCCGTACCAGGCTTCTTTAATTTCAGAAAACTCCTTGCCTAGCCGATGGCGAAGAACAATATGTTGGAAAATTACGAAGGAGCTTCACTTGGACGTGTCTTTTGATCCTGGAACCATCTCGAAGTATAGCGCCGGATGGCTCGAATCATCCCAGAACTAGATGCATCCCGGACAATACGGCCAACAAGGAGGGCCCTGAATGATGATGTTTATTGGATGCAGATTCTGAAGTCGACGACGGATGAAGGACGACGGCTCGCAACTTACTCTGGAGGATCTGACAAGCGATTTCATAGATTTCGAAGAGGTCTCACTACTGAACGTACACCGTACAGAGACCCGACTCGAGGTCACAATGCACCTACGTGGACATTGATCTTTTTGTTCCACTACCTTCATCATAAACTCAAGAAAATCTCAAGAAGATCCTCTTGAAGAGTTGCAAGTCAAACAATTTAGGCTGAATTGAATAGGCGAGATCAATGTTGATATAGACGGGCAGGCAAAGAAAGCATGAGATCTCGGTTCGAGGATCCACGGTTTTGTTACCATCTCAGGACGGGACGAACCTGGAGGATCTAGAACTGGGGATTTTCAGGGCCAACCATAGGGTGTTTGTTATCTAAAATAGTGCGACTCCACCGGGCAGTCACACTGCGAACATGTCTTAGATACTGGGAAATGTCTATTTATTATTCATGGGTTCGACTTCGAATCATCCCAAGGTCGTGGGTCTTAAGCTGATGATATCTAGAGAGGTACGGAGCAGCTACGCCTTCTGTAGGTAGAGAGGTAGCTATAGGCAGATAACACTACAAATAGTGTCCAACTCAGACGCCTATCATGGTACTGATTCAATAAAACAGCGCATTGAGAACTAGAGATTGCCTTCTGAGCTTATCGGTCGAATCATACCTGGTTCGTGAAGCCCAACATGACAGTGTAAAATCGGACAATTGGTGAGGGGAGGGTGGAATACATACGGTACCACCATTCCTTTCTGTTTTCGGACCGATAGTGATCTGCCGAGAATCAAAACCTGTTGCCATCCGTCTTGTCCCCGAAATTAATGCGCAGCCATGCAGTCTGAACTCCATCATCCACATATCTCAGCGTTCTCTGTGCTCAGATAGGACAGCTACCCTGTTTGTTTGTTCGTGTCTCCAAGTCATATCTATCATCATCGCATGGCTTGGCGCTGGGTTCTAAATGAGTGCTAGCTACGAGTAATCGGGTCTAGCCTAGGTATTTAGTCTTTGTCCGTTGATTTTCACTGGCTAGAAGGCATCTATTATCTCGAGACTAGGAGGTGCTGGACCCCTCTCTAAGTTCTGAGATGTTTGAAAACCATCACGCTTCTCCAGTTCCTGTTTTTGAGAAGACTTGAGTACAAATGTGGCTCTGACTACATCATACCCTGCAAGAATTTTTTTTCTGCTCCATTGTTATGCGCATATTCGAGTCAGTCACATCCCGATCCAGAGATCGGTAAGTACCGAAGGTAAGCAGTACCTAAATACTTACCCAGGTACCACCTTACGTACTATCAGTTAAACCCTACCCGCTGCCTTCGATACTCCGTACCTGGGCACGTACTTGGGTTGTAAGTGTAACGGCTGCGTAATAATCCTGCAAGCGGTATGGGGACCAAATAGGTACAACATTAAGCAGTGGACCTAAGTAAGGCACGTACCTAGTTCCTTCTCATCCAAATATAGCAATGTATCCTGATAGCCGGAGTCAAGGTCTTACAATTCCATACATACGTCGCTGGGAAATCTAATTTAATTTATCGAAGGATGGAACGTTCAGTCAGTCAATTTATTATCTCTCCAACGATCGATCTACTCTACTCTTCATCTTTTTCTCTCTCTCCTTTGTTTATCTGCTCCTTTAGAAGGTCCCCATTATTGTTTCTTTTTCTTGTGTTTTTCACCCTCCTTCCTACACTCGCAGCTTGCCCCTATCTTTCCATCCCTCCTCTAGTATCATCACTCGCCTCCTTTGAGAAGTATTACATTTGATACACTCCCATGCACTATTGCATGAGGGTTGCTTACCTCTTTCCAAAAACTCTCAAGCAATTATCCATAAATCCCCCTCACTTCCACTAGACCTTACCGGCTGCCTTGTGCTCTTGATGGCCCTTGGGGACGTCCACTACTTCCCCACCACCAAAGAGAATGGCTTACAACGCCGTTTCCCAGGCCGACGTCGAAGTGGCCTCCAACGCGACCGATTCTGATGCCTCCCGCAGTCCATCGCCGCAGTCGCAACAGCGCCCCACCTTTCAGCAACTGCCCCTAGGTACAGACCATATCGGAGGAGGGAGTTATTTACAACCAGCAAAGACCGCAGAGGACACCGGATTTGGCAACTTGAGCTCCATGTTACGGTCCATGACATCGACCAGCTACGACATGGTCGAGGAAGACGACTACGAGGAAACGAACCCTGGCGCAGATCGACGGTCCGACGATCTTCGTCGCGTGATTCCTCCGCTTGACACTACTTCCAAGCCACAAGTGCAAACAGACTCCGATGAACCACCCCTGCGGACTCCCATCACCGATACGCCGGTACCTCTCAGTCATCCGACGCCAGATCTCCAGTCCTTACAAGGAGCGTATGTCACTAATGTGGAGAGGTTGGAGAGGAGTGCGGAACGCTTGAGCTCGAGCTCGGCGGATATTGCGAGTGAGATTCGAAAGATGAATCTCGAGCAGAAGAGGCGCTCGTGCAGCTCCGTCTCCAACTCTGTTCTCCAATACAACACGGAAGGCTCCCCCTTGAGGAACAACATTTCCAGCCCTCAGGGCTCCACTCATTCGGCATCTCGTTTGGCGCAACTGTCGGAAAGCGGAAATGAGGGTATTTTCACCCTGCCTGCGTTTGGGACTGCCCCTGAGCACGTTTCTCCGCCTCAAGAGGCCTTCTCGCCCCAGTCCCCCGCCGATTTTCCTGATCGACACGGTCATGGGGCAGCCTACGAGATTGAGAGGCCTTCGTCTGCAGCTTCCGGTGACACCTTTCAACAAGCGAGGGTTCTGTTCACTGATTTTGACGGCGTCCATTTTGTTGACAAAGGTCCGGACCCCATGCGCCATGTGTCGCTGACCAGACCGCCTCTCGCAAGTAGCTCCGAGTCGTACAAGGAACCACAGGTGGGAAATAATATGGTATACTACCCTGCGCCTGTTCCGATGATGCTGAATTTACCGCCTCGGCTATCGCAAAGACGTGATGCGGAACGGGAACGGGAGAAACGTCGCACCCAGCTCCTCAGCACAGTTGCTCCGGAGAACAGGAAATCCGCGCCATGGCTGTCTGATCAAATTCAAGAGGAAGCGAACGGCCAGAAAAATTATAAAGATTTGCCTCCGCAACTTCGAGCGAGCGTCTTCTTCGACACCCCGGCCGCACCGCTGGAAATCGAAGTGAAACAGGCTTCGGCCGTTGAAACGCTTGAGAGTATACTGGATGCCTCCGCGCATGCCCCTGTTACTGCCTTTACAGAACATCCCTTCGCTGGAAACGTAGGGTCAGATGTATATCGGAGCGCCAAACCCAAGTCGTCCCATCCGAATCTATCCGAACAAAGGAAGAAACGTGCATCTAGAACCAATCTCGTCTCTGAGTATCACGCTTCCAATCCTGACCTCAGAGCGGCCTCCATCGCGTCCCATCCATTACATAAGCAAACTGAAGCAGACGCTGCAGTTAGACATGAAAATGCCGCTCCACATGTGGATGATGATGCTTACGATGAACAGTCAGAGAGCGATGGTTCCGAAACAGGCGACGAAGAATCAGAGGAGGAGGACGGACCAGATTTCGAATACACAGGACCCCCGAATACTCTGCTAGCAGAGCTAGAAATGCGAAAGCAGGAACTGAAACAGCGGCGGCGGACAGCCGCTGCCTCCAGTGGAATGCACTCCACCCTTCTTCAGCTTGAGGCTGTCGCCCAGAAGCAAAGTGAGCACAGACGACAGAAGCCGGTTACATTAGCTTGGGAAGATCCCGACGTTCACAAGCACGAGGAGGATGAGGATGAAGACGTTCCCCTGGCCGTGCTCTTCCCTGAGAAAGCCAATGTCCCCGACGAGTCCAGGCCATTGGGTCTCATGGAGAAAAGGGAATTGGAGGAGAGTGAGCCGCTGAGCAGACGTCGCGCGAGGCTCCGAGGAGAGCCCTTGCCCTCGGCCAGCCTTGATAAGCGCCCAACCACCATGTGCACTCAGAATATGCCGGAGCCCGCGCAGCCGGACAGTGGAGACGAGGGAGAGACCCTAGCGCAGCGACTTAAGCGGTTGAAAGCCAAGGACCGCACCAGCACTGTCGCAGAGAGTGAGTTTGCGAGTGAAATTCTTGCCGAACTGAGCCATCTACACGAGGACGAACCGAAGGACAAGGAAACCGAAGCCGCGCCCGAAGACGAGACTCTGGCTCAACGACGAGAGCGGCTTCGAAGGGAGGCCGCCGCTCAGAAGAAGGCGACCCAAGCCCCAAGATACCGGAGAAGTATGGCGGACATCCTTCATGCCCGTCCGATCAGCGTCGGGCAACCGCCAACGAACGAGCCTGCTGCTCATCGTGGACCGACCCATCAGCGTTCATACGACAACCGTCTATCAACAC